GAATCGTTGCCAAGATACCCTTAATCTTACATAGGAAAAGACCCGAACACACCTAGACGTACACACACATACACACACACACACACACACACACACACACCTATACCCCTCAGCAGCATATGTTGTTCTGCTAATCCCCCAAAATAAATCTTTCAGGTTGAAGAAGAGAGAATTAGCACAAGATCAATCTGGGTTCTATTAAACCTAGTCTGAAGTTCTAACTATAAACCAGATAGTTCCAGGAATGTACAGTCAAATGGCTGGATTTGTGCAGCATGCTATGCCTTAACAAAACACAAATTTCTGCATATGCATTTAACATGTTAACAAAACAATTGCTGCATATACATTGGAGATGAGATGAGAAGTATTATTCATAAAGCAATAGCTAAGTTTGTTGGAAGTTGAAGAGAAGGGAAAAAAATACTCTCCCATACTTTGGAGGAAAATAATGGGGAAGCTAATAAAAGTGCCAGAGGAAGAGCACCTGTAAACTTGTGTTTCAGAGAGGAAATCAAAATTAATTGACCAGCATATTCTTATCACTTTGGGGCATCAAGCCAGCCTTAGTATAACTTGTCTGCTCAAGAACAAACAGATCCTTAGCATGCCATTTGCCTCATTGAACCAGGATTGGGGAAAATGCAATTGTTCCTAACTGCAACTCCCAGCATTCCTCACTACTACCATACTGGCTAGGCCTGCTGAAATCTGTAGTGCAACAAGACCATACCTTTATAATAAAGGTAATCCCTGTTTATCCTACAAGGTTTAATTATAGCCTAGATAAACCCAAAAGGATACAGAAGTTGAGTGTAAATACCCAAAAGACGGCAACAAGAAGTAACTTGGGTGGATGACAGCATCCTAGTTGTGGATGTAATAAATGGCTTTGTCCTGTCATTGAATGGTGGAGGGACAAAAGAAGGGTGGGTAGCATTCCGAGAAATGTGTTCCATAGAAAGCAGAGATGGAGACTTAATCATTTCCTTTTACAGAACTGTGAGCTTGCCTCCTTTATAACAAGTATCCACTTGAGAGCGGAGCAGTAGATTGAGAACATGAATAGTCGCCTATGGGATACGGATTTTCTGGAGGTTGTCCCATATGCTTTTGCCTTTAATGGAAGCTTCCTGGCTGATAGTTTCCTCCATTTCCTTCTCCTGGAGAATATGATTGTTTTGATAGACCAGATGTGAATGAATGAATTAATTCTTTATTGGCCAGGTGTGATTAGACACACAAGGAATTTGTCTTGGTGTGTATGCTTTCATATGCTGCATATGTGGAGATTCTGACCGACTCTCTGGGCTGCCCTGCTTGTATCCTCTCTTTTCAGATTGTCTCTTCAGCCTCCACGGACCTCCAAGACTACACCTATTACTTTGTGCCAGCCCCTTGGCTCTCAGTCAAACTTCTGTTGCTGCTGCAGTGTTACCCTCCCCTAGGTAACAAGCAGGCTCAATTCCACCCGTGCTTTCTACAATTTTGTAAACAACAAACTAAAAGACTCAAGGTCCATCCCACCCCTGAAAGGACCTAATGGTAAAGACTTCAACAACGACACTATTAAAGCCAACCTCTTTAACACATTCTTTGGCTCAGTATTTGTAAACAGCAATGGATCATGCCCAGTATTTCCTAGTCGAACCACAGACAACTACAATGATCTAATACATATCGATTTTACAGAAGACAATGTTGAAAAAGCACTACGCAATCTAAAACCATCTCTATCTATTGGACCGGATGGAATATGTGCCTACTTCTTTAAAAAGCTATCCACTGCCATAGCCGAACCTAAGCATAATCTTTGAAAAATCTTTCAGGACCAGCGTCTTGCCAAAACTATGGTCACAAGCCATGGTCATCCCCATCTTCAAAAAGTGATACCCCAGCCCAGTTGAAAATTACAGACCAATCTCTTTATGCTCCGTCACCTGTAAAGTCATGGAATCAATTATTAACCAATCCATCATCCTCCACTTAGAAACAAACAACCTACTCTCTAATAAACAATTTGGTTTCAGGAAAAAACTATCATGTAATCTGCAACTCTTACATTGCAAAAACATATGAACTGCACAACTCGATCAGGACAAAGCAATAGATGCAATCTACATAGACTTCTGTAAAGCCTTTGATTCAGTGGTACATGACAAACTCTCCTAAAACTAAAATCTTACGATATCTCTGGACACCTGCATTACTGGATAGAAGCATTCCTGTCAAATAGACAACAAATGGTCAAAATTGGGAGCATCCTATCAAATTCTGTACCTGTCAACAGTGGTGTCCCCCAAGGCAGTGTTCTAGGACCAACTCTTTTCATACTCTATATAAATGACCTCAGTGATCATATCAAGAGCAACTGCATTCTCTTCGCTGATGATGTAAAGCTATTCAAAACCACAGAGAATACTGCTACCCTTCAAAAAGACCTTGATTATGTATCAGAATGGTCAAACAAATGGCAACGTCAAATCTCAACAAATAAATGCTCTGTCCTACATATTGGCAAAAAACAAATCAGAAAATAAAATACAGGCTGAATAGTCAAGACCTTGTTGATGAGCCAAACTCTGTCAAGGATCTTGGAGTACTCATCTCTAATGATCTAAGTGCTAGAGCCCACTGTAACAACATAGGCAGAAAGGCGTTAAGAGTTGTTAACCTAATCTTACGTAGCTTTTTACATAGCTTTTTCTCTGGTAATAACACACTAATAACTAGAGCATACAAAACATTTGCTAGACTAATACTTGAATACAGCTCATCACTCTGGAACCCACGTTACGTATCTGATTAACACAGTTGAGAAAGTCTAGAAATATTTCACAAGAATATGCCAATATGTAGGACAGAGCATTTATTTGTTGAGATTTGACATTGCCATTTGTTTGACCATTCTGATACATAGTCAAGGTCTTTTTGAAGGGTAGCAGTATTCTCTGTGGTGTTGAATAGCTTTACATCATCAGCGAAGAGAATGCAGTTGCTCTTGATATGATCACTGAGGTCATTTATGTAGAGTATTTGTTTCTAAGTGGAGCATGATGGATTGGTTAATAATTGATTCCATGACTTTACAGGTGACGCAGTATAAAGAGATTGGTCTGTAATTTTCAATTAGGCTGGGGTATCCCTTCCTGAGGGTATCACATCCTGGGGATGTGGCTTGTGACCATAGTTTTGGCAAGGAGCTGGTCCTGAAAGATTTTTCAAAGATTATGCTTAGAGGTTTGGCTATGGCAGTGGATAGCTTTTTTAAGAAGTAGGCACATATTCTGTCCAGTCCAATAGATAGAGGTGGTTTTAGATTGTGTAGAGCTTTTTCAACATTGTCTTCTGTAAAATCGATATGTATTAGATCATTGTAGTTGTCTGTGATTCAACCAGGAAATACTGGGCATGATCCATTGCTGTTTACAAATACTGAGCCAAAGAATGTGTTAAAGAGGTTGGCTTTAATAGTGTCGTCGTTGAAGTCCTTTCAGGGGTGGAATGGACCTTGAGTCTTTTAGTTTGTTGTTTATAAAATTGTAGAAAGTGCGGGTGGAATTGGTGCGTAGAAGGTCTTCTTCTTGTTTAATGTGATAATTGGTGCATTCAGTTTTTATCTGGTGGCATAAATTTTTGTATCGGCTTTTGAAGTTGGCAATGTGACCAGATTTGTTTTTCCGCCAAAGTGATTTCTTTTTGGATTGAAGCTTCCTTATTGTTTTGGGTAATTTGTTTTTTCTGGTTTTGGGGGTTGTTAATGGTACATATAGTTTGATGAATCTTTTGACTTCAAGTAAAAATATGTTGTAATGGTCTTCTACAGTATTGTATCCAGAGAATAGAAATTGCCAATCAAGGGATGAGAGATCGTTGTTTATAAGATCATAGTTGCCTTTTTTGAAGTTATAATTGGGGATTCCGTCGTTGTGATGATTTTTGCGTGGATGTATGTTGAGACAAAAGTCAATCATGTTGTGGTCACTGTTGGAAAAGGGTTCTTTAATTTGTATTCCATAAATTGAATTCAAACTATTGCAGAAGATGAGATCGAGGCAGTTGTTAAGTCTAGTGTTGTTGGTTACTAGTTGTTCTAGTCCCAGATTTGTTACTGCATTGTAGAAGGTTGCATGTGTGGGTTCATTCGTACATTCGTTAAGGGTCCAGTTAATATGAGATAGATTGAAGTCACCAAGAAAGATAAAAGCGTGTGGGCAGGATGCTGCCCATGTTAGTAGTGTATTTAGCTTGTTTGCATGTTCAATGTCATAATCGGGCTCTGTAACATAGTAAGAACCAAAATGTGATATTTAAGGACAGTTCACAGATGATGGTCTCAGGAATAGCAAGCTCCTGGGTAATTTGGATGTTTTTTAGATGTAGGGACTTTTTATAGAAGATAGCAACACCACCTCCTCTATGGATTTCACAATCTGATCGGTAAACATGAAAGTCTCTTACTGTGGTAATGGGGAGTCAGGGAGAGATGCGTTGAGCCATGTTTCACAGACAAATATGTCGAATTTAGCCGTATTTAGTAAGAGGAGAAATTCAGGTATTTTATTTACAAGGCTTCTTGCATTGAATAGCTTGCATTTAAGGCCAGTTGTGGTTGGAATAGAGGTAGTTAGGGGCATGCATGCCTTGTTTTGAGTGATGTTGGATTGGATGGGGTGGGGTTGGATGCGGAGTTGTGGGTTGTGTGACTTTCTTTTGATGCAATCAGCTCTGTAGTCAATGTATAGACTTTTGGTAAACTGATGTCATATTAGAATTGGAACTTTTGGAAAACTGATGACATATTAGAATGGGAACAACATTCAGAACATGTAGCTTTGCAGATTGAAGATGGATCTGCTCCAAATCTCCCAGATCTTGATCTTGCCTATACTGACTTAGGTTCAAAAGAAAACTCCAGAAAGGCTGCACTCTGAAATCGTTTTATTGGGGGCAGGAAAGTCTGGCTTAATTTACTCTGTGCCTCACTGTATCGTGATCTTCTACAAATGCTGACAGCTGGGGCATATGCCTTCTGATTGGGCCTGCTGCTTCAGCTCCTCCAAAATTGGTGCTGTCGCATGCTCGAACATCTTTTGCAGCACCTCTGTATTCGCAATGCTGTAGCTGTGGGTAGGAAATGAACCAGGAAGTGAAATAAAGAGTCAATTGGAAAAAGTACTGTAAGCAGGGGGGGGAAAGAAGGGAGGGGAGAGGGTATGAACATTCTAAGCTTAAAGGGGATTTTTAAAAATCCATTTAAAATCCAGCTCCTCTTGATTCTTCTAAACATGCATGCCATTATCATGAGCTTTAGCAACTTGACCTTTTTCAAAGAAATGGAAACAGATGTTCTCAGGAATATAAAGTCAATGCCAGATACTCGATTTTGTAGAAAGCTCCATTTTCAGCAGCAGCCAATTAACTGCTCATGTGAATAATCAGTTTACTGGCTTCTGTAGTACTGAACCGACTCTTCTGTGAACTGGAAAATTGAAATTACTTGCTAGTCCATGAAAGGAAATCTGTAATATTAAGTCTGTGTTTTTGGTTAACATACTGTTCATGGACTGCTTAAGTAAGGGTTTTTTTGGGTAATGATGGAAAAATCTTAAAGAATTTGTTCTCATTCATCATGTCCATCCAATAAGAGAATGTTTCTCACCCTTGGTAATGTCAAGCTGTAGAGGCTTTAGCTAATGAAAACTGGGGAATTCTGGGAATTAAGATCCATACAGCAGAAAATCGTTAAGTTTGAGAATCACTACAATAAGCTATGACAAAGGTAAGCATGCTCAGAGACCTCTCACTTAAGTTGCATTATTTGGAGATCCAAGACTACTTTTTCATTGTCCCTGTCTTCTTGCACACCATTCTTCCAAAGGTTCAGATGGCCCTAACTGTATCTTTCAAAGGCTTTTCCTCGGACACTGGCTATGGGGGTTTTCTCCCAGTTGACTGTTTCTGGATTGGTTTGGGTCGATAAAGCTATTTTGGAAATATATTTTATTGTATTTTAATATTGAGGGATCTATTGTTTTTTTGGTGTGTGTGCACTGCTCTGGTTCGTATATCAACTGGACAGCTATTAAATTGATTTAATTAGTCAATCAATCATATTAAGCCATAATGTGGTAAGTTTGGTTTATCTCAGTTTTTGTGGCCCATGGGGATTACCAAATCCAGCACACCATCTGCCATGCCCAAAACATCACAGAATGTCACAATTTAAAGGCAGAATGCCGAATTTTAATGCTTTAGTAAAAAAATGGCAAATAAGATGGGAATGGGAGTCTGAGCCCAGAAGATGAAATACATTTATATTAGTTAACAATTTTCTTCGACAGAAGCAGCAAAAACCTCTCTATAACTTTCTTAGGTAAGCAAGTCACTGGAAGATTTCTTGTAGCCCACCAGCAGGCTGGAAATTCAAGCAGTAATCCAGGCCTACCTTTGATTTATGTCTTAACGTGTGTATGTAGCCAATGCAGATAGTCCTAGTTAATGACCATATCACTCATATTTATGGATGCTTGCAGGGTCCCAATTGTGGGACCATGATTTTCTGAGGGTTTTTAAATGGATTTCTGGCATTTACTTCTTGGTTCTGGTAAAAATGCCCATTGAATAACATTGATCCACATAACAACTGTGGTGTTTAAAAACTGTGGTTTTTGCTTAATAGCCTCCACAAAAAAATGTTGTAAAATCAAATGTGGTCAGATGGTGACCTGCTTAACAACTGACATGATTTCTGACTATGTAATTCCAGGTTCAATTAGTCATACAGTAAATCAAGGCCTATGCTTTGTTTAATAAATTGTGATTAAGACAACCATTATTTAGAAGCTTTATGACCTTGGCCTCCATGAAATCAAGGAAATTAAACTTATTGCCCTAATCTATGCATCCTTTTTTAAACTAGCCTTTGATTTTCATTATCGGGTTAGCCTATATTCTTCAATTCTGACTCCAAGGTTTGAAATAGGTACCTGGAACATCTAGCACAAGTAGGAGGAGGCCAATTAAGCGCTTCTATGTTCTTGAGTGTACCAAGATATCGGGATACATCTTCCAAGAGTGGATTCACCTGCCAGAGCCCATCCAGGTCTACACGGAGCTGAGTTAGAGATACTGATGCCCGCTTTGCCCTGGCATGGGAAGAAAATGACAGTAGCAATAAGTAAATATAGCAAACATCTACAAATTTCAAATTCAAAGCCCTGCAACAGCTGAGACAGATGCAAGTTTGTGTCTCCACACAGATCTTGGCTCTAGAAAACAGTAATTGTTCTTGCCTCCATCATCTTTTAAATCTAGTACTTCTTTCATTGGGAATAAGAGACCACAACTCAGAAGGACCTAAGAGCACTGGAGATTGGAGGAGAGACATGGCTGTCCAGCTTCAAGAAAAGATACTCTTTGCTCAGCAAAGGCACATACGTGGCAGAGACTTCATCCAGTTCCTCCCGCAGCATCCTGAGTGCTTGGCCTTGTTCCACTTGTGTCCTTTCCCTCTGGGGAAGCACTCCTTCCAAGCGTATCCCCAACTGGGCCAATAGCCGCAACACCTCCTTCTGGGCTAGCTCCAGCATGCATTTCCTTGAGTGAGATATGATAGAAAGAGACCAGGTTGGAGGATATCTTGGTGCCTCCAGCAAAATCAAGACCCCTTCCCATTCCCTCCTCAGAGAGGTACCAAGAGAGCAATAGTGCACTTCTGGATATCACTCTCCCCAAAGATGGGCAACCTTGGGGATCATGCTACTTATGAGGTACAAAAAATTTTTGGAGACCCCACTCGCCATCCCCTATTCCAGCAATTGCCATGAGGTCTTACCAACGAAAGTCTTCTACTTGAACCTGTTGCTGTAAGTTACGCAGTTTCTCCTAAACAGAGTAGGGGAAGTGACAGAGAAAGAACAAGATTAACTTGTGGTATTTAGTATATGTAAACTTGGTTCTTTCTGGGAAAGGCTAATATAGAACAAGTTACCCTTGCTGGTGGTTTAGTATGTGTGTCTCAATTATTTTGATTTCCCTTGGGGGCATATGGTGGGGCATGGCTCAAAGAAGTCAACATGGCAGCTGTGATCACTTGATTAAATCCTGTCCATTTTGTTATGTCCATTGCAACAAGCTTAAAACTGGGCCAGGACTCCAATTATGTGATTCCAATTATCTTATTTAACAGGCTGATCTCCTGTGTTCAGTTTCTTTATTTCCTTTCCTTCCTGCCCAATGGGCTGCTGGAACAATTGGTCACCTTGGCTTGGCTGCAGATGTGGTACACAACTGGGCTAAAGCAAGAGAAGGAACACATTATTTATCTAAAATATACCCTTCACCTCAAAGTGAACCTTTAGAAAATACAACTCAGCAAATCTTCAGAAGAATGCAGTCTTGTGCTGCTTTCTTTGTGAGTGCTGATAATGAAATCCAAATAATTCCAAACCTTTCAAATGTAATAAGAGGGTAAATGAAAGGGACAAACTGCAGGATCACTTAGAGCATGTAAAAAAAGAGATGGTTCGGCCAGAAACCAGAGGATGGGCGAGATGGAGAATTTGCATCATCCTTTCCTCCTCCTCCTTCTCTTCCCTATTTAGGAGTCTACAGAGGATAATAACTTAATATTGCTATCTTGACACTTAACCATATAACACTCAGATAACCCACCAGGAAATATGACCATAAATAACTATGGTGATTAATTAGATTTCTACCCCAATTTTGAGAAGTTCAAGCTGGCAAGATTACTTCTAACTTTTCTGGTTTCTTCCAGTGGTATTCCTTTCAGGGGGCTGGGCTAATAGAGGTCTAAAGACACCAGTCCCTCCCTCTCTCAGCCCAGCCCTCTCAAAGGGATATGGTTGGAAGAAACCAATTATATGTATGTCTGTAAGTCTATAAGAAGCCACAGTCTCTTCAGTGCCAGTCCAAAGTTAACCCCTACACAATGCTGGTGAGACTTTAAAAGCAAAATCTTAGGAAAGGTAACAACAAATCATTTTCATATTGCTGTTAAAACCTATATATCACAAGGAATTGAGCATGGTTGAGGGTGCTTATTTTTCCTGTGCACAGCTCCTCCAAATTTTCCAACAATCATCTTGTGCAGTATGCGAGCATGAGAGAGAGAGCTTTGATGGTTGACCTTGGACCTGAATTATAATCTCCTTAATCCCTAGTAGGCAATGGCTCCCTTTTGGTAAAAGGTTCGTGATATTTTTTTATTGGAAAGAGAATCACTTGGCAAAGCTGGAAAAAAGGCTCAAAAGAGATAGGAGCAAAAATTGGTGTCTTCTCTCTCACCTCCAAGAGGGTTGAGTTTTCTTCCAGCACACTGGTCTTTATTTCAGCATCCTCCACAGATTTTGTCACCTTTTGGCAGCTTTCCTTCAAGAAATTTCAGAGGGGAAGAAACTCAGATGGCCAAGCATTAAGCAAATGGCATTAGCTAACATAGATTTGCATTCAATGTGGTACATTTTCTATAAAAGTCTTTTCAAGAAATTGTGATACAGAAGAAGCTGAAAATTCTCCCACTTTTCTTTTTTTAACTAATGATAAATTTGGGAAATATATGTGTAAATATTTCTGACTATCTTCTCAACTTGATTGCACCACATGCAAAATGACTCTTATTGAGGAAGGTCTGTATTGGGGAGCACATGAAGTTAATAATAAATTAAAAGAAAAGCAAAATCAGATGAGCATCCAGGTTGCTTGCCCAAACAAATGCTAGGCCCAACAAAAAGATATTGGAATTATTTTATAAGTATTATAGGAAGCCCACAATGGAATTATTTTCTGCAACCTTATAGGAAGTCCACCGTGGAGCGTATGTATACTACTATGATTCTTTTGCTTTTGAATCAGGTGTTACCTCAGGTAGACATCCAGCGTGCCTTGTAGACGCATCCCTGAAGTTAGAGAAGTGCCAGTAATAACCAGGACTTTGTGTTTGGCTTAAAGTTTGGCTGCTGTACTTCAATGCCAGCTCATTTTTCCTCTGGATACAGAGGATGGAAGAGACAATGTGATAAATCTGAAGTAGCAGACATAGACAAGACTAGATGTTCCAACAGAACAGACACTTTCCGTTCACTAGAGAAAGATGAGAAGTAGCATCTTCAAGTGGAATATGCATTTAAAAGATATACAGACCCCAAGCACATGAAGAGTACAAATGTTCTTGGGGAAAATTAGCAAGAAAGCCTGTTAATCTACTGTAGCACTAAAGAGACCAGTGTTTTATGCATTTAAATAACTACCATCATGGCATACAGTAGCTATTGGGACAATCACATTATTTAAAGAGCCATAAGATAGTTGTTTTTGGTGAGGAAGGGGAAAAGAAGCATTTTTACTTGTTAATTATTAGAACAATACTAATTCAGGGCAAGATAATTATCTAGTAAAGCAGCAACAGGTATATGGGTTGGGCTTGTAACTCATTTCCTCACCCGTTGGCTAGAAGTATCATCTTCATCTTCTGACCAAGCTGGCTTCATGGGAAGCAGAGGATCCCGTCTTTCATCTCCTGCTCCCCACGGCAGGCCCTCATTATCTGTGGATTCATTCTCACTGATGGAATCATCATGTTCCTCATCAGTTAGATTCAGGAGAGAAACATTAGTAGAAGCAGAAGAACGCTTCAAGTTCAGATTAGGGCTTTCACTGGTAATATGGGGCTCAACTCTGGGTTTGGAAAAAGTACACATATTATTCTTAGATAATGGTAATGGACTACTTTTTTCCTTACATAATATATAGCAGAGAGGTAGTTTTGATCATTTACTACAAGAAAGAGCCTTGTGATGCCTCAATGGCTAACATATTTTTTGGCAACCGAAGCTTTTGGGAACCAAAAACAACTCTTGTCTGGTAGCAATTTTATAATTTTTTTGCCATGCTTTTTTAAACACCCTTCATGAGCAAACATATGTCAGTACATGTAGATATTAAAATAACGACAAAATCCTAGCTCAGTTCTCTCAAACATGATGCTTTCCAAGTTGTGTTTGTTGTTAGCATCCTCAATTTATGGGATTACTATATGGAAAGTCTGGGATATCCTGGAAATTTTGAGAATTGAAATACAACGCATTATTAGAATACCTGGTTTTACTTATGTATTGCATATACTGCGATCAAGTTAACACATTTTGGGTGACTCACATACTATCCTATCCCTCTATCAATAAATGTAAGCAACATACTATTCCAAAGAGATAGGTCAACTATCAAAAATACTCTCATCCCCATCACTGCTTGAAATGGGGGGGGGGAGTCCAAAGAAGCCCCTCCCAGATAGGACCCACAATATTTATGTGAAGAAGATGGTTCATAAAGTAGTACAACCCAACAGGGGGAAGATTTTATAGATTAAAGCAAGGATTGTATACAGGAAATTTTATTGTTAACCAATGCATAATTCACAGCCCAATGCTACCCTGCTGAAGCAGATCTCAGCTTGCAGCCTTTGGGCACCAACTCGAGTTTTAATAATCTTCAAATGCAGCCCACACAGAATATATTGGAATAAATAATGTTGAGGTAATGAGGATGAGTGCCTACTGTCAATGTCTTCCACTCCCAAGGACAGAACAGAAACATTAGAACAGAAACACAGAACACAAACACTTGGGAAAAGCTTTCCTGGTAACAGAATCCACCTGTTGATCATACAGAAGGATCCCTATTTTTATCCTAGTTCTATCAAGCCAACACTTGGGCACAAAATAATACCAATTGTTCCTGAACAAGCAATAACTTCTGCTTGCTGTGATTCAGTTGAACCTAATTTCTTGCCATTCCATTCGGTCTCTCACTTTTCCCATTCTGCGTGAGGATCTCCTCTACATTTCTTGCTATGTTGAGGCCATAAAGTTTGGTGTCATTATGCATAGTACATACTTTTGAACTCTCCCTCCAAACCATCAAATGACCTTTCCCAGTGGTTTCATTTAAATAACAAACGGGAGAGATCAGAGGAGAATCAATTCCTGGGGCACTGCACATTCAAGTGCCCTATGGTGTCACTTCTCTTGACACTACAAATATAACCTAAGAGTGGAACCACTGCAGAATAATGCCACCCATACACACACACACACACACACACACACACACCTATATCACATCCATCCCTCTTAGATAGTTCAGAAAAATATCATGGTACAGAACATTAGCGAGAAGTTTAATTGTAGAGGAATTCAAACTTCTGGTTGCAAAATTAATGTCAGAGACTCCTGTCTGCTACCTCAGAGTTCACAAGATCAAATCAAGTCCCAAAGGACCTTTTTAGATGCTGTCTCAGCCAATCTGTTGGATTCTACACACAAGGAATCCAAGTTAGCTCAAAGTCTATAGAAAAGGCTATATTAAAAAAAAGTCATCAGGGAAAGTAATTCACGCACATACAAAGCCAGGATTTCTGAGATCTCAGTGATAACCATCTTAAGGTGCAATTTCTTATCTAGCTGAGTGAACAAACATTTCACTTAAGAAAGCAGTATTTAACAACCATGTATATATAAAACCTGGATTTTTCTCCAGCACTATAGTTGGGACCAGAAAATGAAGAAAAGAATGGGTTTCCCACCCCCACACTTGCTTGGGCAGGAATTAGAAATGATTTTTTTTAAAGGAGCAGTGATTCATATGCTTTGCAAGAAAAGTAAACTAAAGTGTAAGCTCCTGAGTGTGAATCAGCATAATATATGCATAAGGGCTGACTGGCTTTTGAGTTGCATGTTGTTGGAACAAAAAGCCAATTTGATTTGATAGAATCAAATGTGTGCTGCTGCCAAATACCTCCCCCCAGGCTAGATGAATTCTCACAACACCTATCCAGTTATTGTCAGCAATAATTACTGTTATGCTACCTGCTCTAGATCAGATGATATTTGTTATCTACTTAGTCTAATGTTGGACTACAAACTTTCATTATTCTCAGACAGCTTGGCCATGCAGGCTACAAATTCTGGAAACTATAGTCCAACAAAGCTGGGGTCTGAGGGCAGCAGCTCTCCATAATCCAGAGATAAAAAAGATTATTATTATTATTATTTTGCATCATCCACTTTGGTCCTTTCACCTGAAGATGTCTAGGACTGAATCTGGAAACATTTGTAGGCAAACAGATGCGCTACTGAGCATACTCACACATTTCCCTGTATATTCCCACATGCTGCAACAAATACACTGAACTCCACCTCCATTCTTTTTCTTACCAGGTCACTCACCCATGGAAAGGGATAGCTTTCTTCTTTGGGGGGATGCTAGTAGACTTTCCAAATTCCTCCTTGCTGCCCTGAGCCTGGCTCTCAGTTCCTGTTGGTGTGTCTCCAGCCTCATTTATTTCTTTGAATTGCCAGATGGTCTTCACCATGTTGGCCATTATTGGGTTGGGGGTCAATACCTGATTTGAGCACAAATTTTCTTCTCTGCACCTGGGAACATCTATCAGTTATAATCCAGTCTGCTCTCCAAGTGGTGCAGGGATCTCCCAGCTGCTCTTATGACCTCACAACAGTTGCCATGGGTGACCATCATGTGACCCCATTTTTCCATCAACAGTTTATATGATGTCAGTTTATATGATGTCAGCATAGCATTCAATGGAAAGAAAATTAATCCAAGACTGTAATCCTGACATCAAAGAAACTCATTGATATAGCTGAATCATGTTGAACTGCATTATGGCTTAGTTATATGTAAAATGAAACATTATTTAAAAAGTTCAAACCAATGTATTTAAATGAAATTGTCTTTTTTTATACAAGATTCATTCGGTGAAGGATCCCCGTCTGTCTTCCCCATAGCTGCAAGCACTTATAGTTTCAGATATCAGAGATAAATACAGCCAGGGTGCACAAGAGGCTGGCTGGTGCATACACACACACACCTCAACTTGTGCAAGCACCGGACGCATGCATGTGCATATACATGTAGCTTGACTCCTAGTGGAGCTGCATGTGCATGCATGTTGGCCTGCTGCTCATGTGTGTTGAGCTGTGCATGTGTGCACCGGCCTGCTGCTTGCACGATCCCGGTTACAAGTAGGGCACAGGCTGTGGTGGGATTCAGCCAGTTCGCACCACTTCGGGAGAACTGGTTGTTAACTTTCTGAGCAGTTTGGCGAACTGGTTGTTGGAAGAAATCATTAGGGCAGAGAACCGGTTGTTGAATTATTTGAATCCCATCACGGCCCAATAGTGGGCTACAGCCAGGGGTTTGGGGACCCGTGTTCTAAGAGATTGGTCAGTAGGTTTAAATCCCGCCTGCTCCTCTCCCTATTGGATCTGGTGAATCTTAATGTCAAATAAGTCCCTTCTGCAGATCTGCATTTTCAATTGGACATGGTTTCCCAAGAAGCCCACCTAAGCCGGCCTCCCCCTGTGCCCCTTCGGTTTGAATATCTTGATCGATTTTAAGAAATGTCAGTCAAAGGCTGCCTCACCCATTTCCTCTTAGGCTTGAGGGATGTTCTTGCGAAACCAGCAAGTGGAATTGCGGCTCGCTGCTGGGCGGGGAAGAGTTCTTGGGATCTGTTATTGGGCGAGAAGTCCATGTTGGGATCATCATCAAATTTCAGCCGATTGGCTTCGGGGGAAAAAGGCACAACGAGCAAGGGTGGCCGGATGTTTCTGTCCTTTGTTCAAAGTTGCCAGTTGGGCAGTCTTCCCACCATGTAGGCTTGTTTTGGAGAAATGTTGCAGGAAATTTTCAGTTTTTCAGGTTAATTGGGGCTGTTTCGAGTACTTTTAAAGGGTTTTGATATGGGACGATATAGCAAACTGATGAATAATAACTGCAAAATGTATCCCAGGGGCGTAGATGATGCTGGTGCACTGAGTCAGTCAGCCTCTTCCCCTCTCACTGCATCGCTGGCCCCTCATTCTCCAAATCCAGATTCTTCTTTGTCTTTTCCCACTTTCCACCTCCTCTCCCAAGGACCTTTTGCAAAAATGGAGAGGGAGGGGGTTTCACCCTTGCAACCTCCAACATCCCTCTCCTTAAATATTTGGATCCCTCAACCTTTCCTGAATTCCTGGCATCCAGATGCCAAAGTTTTCACACACACCCCGGCTTTTTTACTCTTGCCGCCTCCTCTTTGTGGCAGGTCCAGTGCCACTGCTGTTTACCCAGACCAGCTCAGTCTCACATCTCCTGCCCTGAGATGGTGCCTATCCCACTCTGGTGCGTAGCCATAAAGCAGTCACCGACTGGCAAAGAGAAGCCCGGTGCTGCTGATGGGCATGAACCAGCTCCCACTTCATCTTACCCTTTGCTTGCCTGGCCCACACGCAATTCCCACGCCTGCCCAGAGTTGGAGGATGGAGGTCAGTTGAGGGAAATTTTGGGGGTATTTCGAGGTTATTTTTAAGGTTGTTAGATCGGGTACGAAAGAGACGCGAGACCAGTGTACTTCAAGCTCTTTATTTCATGTATAGACCTGTACAAGATCTTGGAGCCGCGGCAGCCCTTCATATAGGGATTGCTCGCGGCTCGCCGGCCAATGACAGGTCTTTGAATCTCCCGCAATTGGCTCGGCCTATCGCAGTTGATTCTTAGCGGACCAATCACTGCCGTTCAGTGGACCAATCACAATGCCGTTTGCGTGGACCAATCAGAAGTCAGTATTTGGAGTATGTTAATACAGAACAAAGGTCATATTGGTCTACAAAAAAATTGGGCATTTGGCAATGCTGCTTCCAGTTCCTTCTGTCTCCTTTAAGAGCAGAATTCATTGGCTTACAAATGGACCTATTTGACACTATTGTGTCATGAGAACTAAATAGCATACATATACAGGTAGTCCTCAACTTACATAGGAGTGACCATTCAAAGTTACAACGGCACTGAAAAAAGTGACATGACCGTTTTTCACACTTACAACCATTGCAGCATCACCCCACGGTCATATAATTAAAACTCAGACACTTGGCAACTGACTCATATTTATGGCGGTTGCAGTGTCCCAGGTCAGGGGATCCCCTTTTGTGAATGTCTTACTGAGCAACAAACAATTTGGGCTCAATTGTGATCATAAGTTGAGGACTCCTTTTTTTTAGAATCGGCCACAATGCTATATATTCTCCAGCATTTTAGAATTCTAAATTCTACTTTGAGGTGTTTTTGCCCCATCACTTTTTTTTCCTGTTGGAGGATGTTTTTTCAGCAATATGTTTAATAAATCATTATTCCTGCCTTTCCATGTAAGACTTAATGAAGTCTTACCAGTCAATGAATACTTCAGCTTCAACCATAACAACACAAGAGCAAACAATAGATACAAACTCAAGGTTAATCGCACCAAACTTGATTGCAGGAAATACGACTTCAGCAACAGAGAGGTCAGTGTCTGGAATACTCTACCTGACTCTGTGGTTTCGTTCCCAAACCCCAAAAACTTTAACCTTAGACTTTCTACTATTGACCTCACCCCTTTCCTAGGGGGTCTGTAGGGGCCGTGCATAAGCACACCAATGTGCCTACTGTCCTGTCCTATTGTTTCTTTTATATATTTTTTATTTTTCTTATATGTATCCATATATTCATAACTATGTTTTTACTTATACCTATTATCTTGTAAGCAATTGATAAAATAAAAAATAATAATAAAAAAACTAAGGAAACTGAAGGCATTGTTGTTTTTATTATTATTGTTTTATATTTATTTATTTATTTATTTGATTTAAACCACCTATTTGCCCATGGCGACTCAAGGCAGCTTACACAATGTAAAATCATATTTAAAACAAAAAATAAAAATAAAAACAATAAGAACTAACAAAAAGAATCAAATAAATTAGTAAAGCACAATAGAACAAAATTTGGGAAAACAAAAAACAAAACAAAACAAAAACCACCCCCCACCCCAACGACAGCGATCAAGCTAGCCATTTGATGGGTTCCATCCAGGGGTGGGATTCTACCAGTTTGCACCTATTCGCTAGAACCAGTTGTTAACATTCTAAGCAGTTCGGAGAACCGGTTGTTAGAAGAAATTACTGGCCTAATCCTGTAAGGAAGGCAGGAAGGAAACATTCTGGTGTTGCTTACAGAAACTGCCTCTCCGTTAACCCTTATTGCATTCTTGGCAGGACTAGACTTCCTCTCTCAGGAACGTCTCTGGAGTTCTTTTCCCCTCCTTTGCTGGTACTTTGCTTGTGTGGAGTGACCATTCAAAGTTACAAAGGCACTGAAAAAAGTGACTTATGACCATTTTTCACACTTACTACAGTTGCAGCATCCCCACAGTCATGAGAGGCCAGGCAAGGAGATGCGTGCCTCGATGTGAGCGATATTGAGTTGGCCACATCCAGCCAATAACATGATCTCCAAGCCATGTCCACCCAGTCACATGACCACCAAGCCATGCCCACCACCTAAGCCATGCCCACAGAACCAGTTGTTAAAAATTTTGAATCCCACTCCTGGTTCCATCCCTCTCTGGGTTCCCCAGGTCCGCTGGCAAAACCAGGTCTTCAGTGCCTTTCAGAATAGTATTAATGAGGGGTGCATTCTAATCTCTGGGGGAATGATGTTCCAGAGAGATGGAGCCACCACAGAGAAGGCCCTTCTTCTTTATTTATGTCCCACCTTTATTTTTTTTATAAATAACTGAAGGCAGTAAACATATCTTATACTCCTTCCTCCTACAACCACCTTGTGAGATGATTTGGACTGAAGTGACTGAGTCTTTTGGTTTTTAGCCTGGAGCTTTAACCACTAGAGTAAACTGGTTCTTATCTCTTCTCTTAGGATAGCAATGTGCTTATTTATTTACCTATTGCTTTCTTCATTTATTTAAATGCATTCACCACTCTACATAAGTTGCTTGAATGCAGCTTCAAAAAATGAAGAAATCTGATTTTGCATAATTCTAAGAGAAAGCTTTAACGCTTGTTTAACATATAATGGCTTGGTGCACATATTATGTTAAGATATAGAAATATTTTTATTTGCTTGGGTAAAACCAACATTAGTGTATGATGATAATGAATATAGTTATTGCATTTGGAAATTCAAGTTGACATGTATGTTTTCTCATATTATACCCAACACAACAATCATGTCCAATATGTTAAGTTGAGAAAGAACAACTTGATAAAATCAGGTCTAAGTATACTGTGGTATGTGAATCAATTCAATTGTGGTTGATTCAGTATATAATAATTAAGCATAGTGTATCAACTTAATTGTTGTGGTTAGGTGTCACCTCATGTTGATCAAAAAGAAAGACAATTTTTGTTTCCTTTGATTTACTGTAGGTAATACTAGTTTTTGGTTTAGCATTGCATTTGACCCAACCCATTGCCAGAGCAATCAGCAAAATGCTTTGGACTGCGAGTTATGTGTTTTGCTTAACAAATAGCTAAATCTTTCAAAGAATAATACCTTTTGATAGCATCCAATAGTGTAATTTCATTTTTAGCCCAACCTAGAATCTTTGCTGTGACTTTTAAGTTCATGATTTTTACTGACAAATGCTGACACCAGCTGGATGCAAAAAAAAAAAAAAAAGAAAGAAAGAAAAGGATAAAGATGAGGAGAAGATTATAATTTTTATTGAAGTAATGAAATCATGTATGATCTTAAAGTTTATTTCCCAAATTCCCTTTGAGTTCATGAGTTCATGGCCAGAGGATTGGGAAATAAAAACAAATGACATGGAAAATATATAGCAAATGAATACTTTTTCTTTGTAGGTCTGTGTAGATGTTTATATCCTTGAGGCTTGTGGAAGAGATAGGAAACAGCAAACAACACAAAAGTCATATAGACAGATTATTTGTAAAGCATAAAAACAATTTCATTTAAATACATTGGTTTGAAATGTTATACCGGTATAATATTTGATCCTACATATAGATAGCTAAGCCATAATGTATTTTTGTTTTAGGTTCATTGTACTGTGTGAACCTCATTTTGTGTGGTGTAAGTCTGATTACTTAACTATGATTCATACAAAACTTATAAACTGCAGTCTAGCGTAGCAGTTGAATCTAGACATTGCCTTCCTGGACCAGATATAAAAGATCAGTTCATTCTACAGTACATTTATTCCGCTCAATCAATACAATTATTTCAATGTCAGCATTACACCATTAGATTAGTTTTTTTTTCCATTGAAGCTATACTAAGGCCATAGAACGTTGGTGGTGCAAATTGTTGATGGAAGAATGGGGTTATATGATTGGCAGCCCCATGGCAACTATTATGAGGTCATGAGAGCAACTAGAAGATCCTTGCCCTACCTGGAAAGCCAGTTGGCTTGTAGATAGTAGATGTTTCCTGGTGTGGTACAGGCAAGAAAATCTGTGCTCATACCAGATATCAACCCCCAATCTATAATGGCCAACATTGTGGTGAAGACCATCTGGCAATCCAAGGAAATAAATGAGGCTGGAGACACATCAACAAATATTGAGAGTCGGGCCCAAAGCAGCAAGGATCAGCTTGGAAAGACTACTAGCATCAAGGGCTTTAACAAAAAAAAGAAAGCAGTCTCTTTCCATGGGTGAGTGACCTGGGAAGGGAAAGGATAGAAATGAAATTCGGTGC